TTCAGTCTTTAAAAAAAAAAAAAAAAAAAAAAAAAAAAAAGAACTGAACCCAACTGTCACCGAACGGTAAACGTTTCCCCTTTAATCAATACATCAAAAACGTTATACTAATCTAAATTATTTTTTAAAATACTAGTCACTAAGACTTGTTTGATAACTATTTTGTTTTCGAAAATTATACTTATTTTTTCCACAATTTTTTGGTAAGTTTTTCACCTTCCAAGCCAAATTTCAAAAACAAAATCAAGGTTTTAGAAATTACCTCTTTCGATTTCAGAATTTGAATTGGCTTTTAAAATTGTTTGTAAACCGCAGTTAATAAAGCAAGAAAACTACAAGTAAAAGTAATACTTAAAAATGTAATTTTTAAATTTTTAAAAAACAAAAAACGAAAAACAAAATGGTTATCAAACAATGCCTAATAGTAAACAAAAGAACCATTTGGACAACCGTGACAATCAAAAAAGTTCCAAATGTCCGGCAGCTATTGTTTCTCCAATCGCCCTAGCATTTGTGCACTGACGAATTAGCATGATTTGTTTTAAAATAAGAATCTCAGAACTGTATCTCGAGAAGGAAAATTATAAAAGTGAACATAGGTGCACAAGAAACCAACACAATGTAATCTGATCAATGAAGAAAGTAGAGAAGTTACATACTCCTTGCTTAATGTGCACCAATTTTAGACCATAGCTAATACAATCTTAAAAAAGTCATTGGTTTCTTCCCATCGAAAGGAGTGGAAGAACCATAGAGGTCGCTCCAAGAGATTACGGCCTTAACCAAGAACCAAGAGCCTGAAAGTAAACCAGAGGCATCAGAGATATCCTGAAGCAAGCACCAGGAGACATTGAAAAGAATTAAGAGGAATAACAAGCAACCAGAGGAACAGGAACAGTGACTGTCTGATCATCATTAAACAAGAACTTAACTGAGAACCTCGAAACTTGTTGATAGGAATAAATACATGTGTGCGTATGTATTAGCATAATGATTTTTGCAACGATTAAAAGGCATGGATCTTTGTCATAAGTATGAAGGAACAAAATAGTAACAAAAGAAGCACATGAAGTCCCAATGAACACTGAAGTAACGCAACCAATTATCTAACTCCTGACAACACAAGTCTCTACAGTCACAGAAACTAATATTGGTCGCCAACATTATCATGCATCCTATCGTCTTGGTATAAACGAAATATAAACAATCTCGAAGAGAAAAATGCTAGGAGGAATCTTACAAGCAATGTTGCTTAGGATCATCAATGATTTTCTCCACAGTGCTGAATATGAACTTACTATCAGCCAAATATTTAGGACATCCTTTCAAGCTCGGTTGCCAAGTCTCTATACCATCCTCGCTCTCATCATAATCATCATCGCTCAACACCAAATTTCCGTCATCTTTCTCCTTTACTTCATCTTCACTTGATGAATCCCCAGTATCACCGGATAACTTTTCACCATTAACATTCCGAAGCCTCATACCGACAAGCCTCAACTCCTCAGTAATGCCTTTGCTCTCTCCTGTACCTCTTCCTCCTTTTCAAAACCGGAGGAGTAGAGCCCGTGCACGTTGCAGTGGTGGAAGGCAAAGGAGCAGAATGATTTGAATCCAAGCAGCACAGCCTCAGAGCACCTCCATTTCTGAACCTCATCTTACGAGTCACTACACTTTGCACAAATCATCAAAGGTCACGAAGAACCTGGGAAGGAGGAGCAAAAAACAACAGAAGCATAGTTGAAAACATTAGTTCAAAAGATTGCAGCGCAACGCTCTCCGGCAACGGCAACGGCGCAGAAACGGTCAGGTTTACGAATTTTGTTCTGAAATATCATCTACCTTCGCGGGAATGTAGAATTAACCTGTCATGAAGGGCGGGCCTGGGGCCTGGGGCCTGGCGTCGATAGCATGATACTGGGGTGGGCTTTGCATGGCATTTGGGTTAAATAACAAAAGCTGAGACCTACTTGACACTTAAAAGTATATGGATTAAATGATATTTTAACATATTTATTAAAAATAAAATTTTAAAATTTATTACTAAAAAAAGGTTGAAAGGGTAAAATTGTAATTTAACGTGTTTCCACCTCCATAAATCGCCATTTTTAAGAACTGGACGAGGGAAGTCTTGCTGGGAAAGAAAAGTTCGAGTCTTGCTTGTCCATCTGACGGGAAGATTGACGCTGAGGGAAAACTTTAGGAATGGAGCGATTGCAGAGGATGTTCGCTGGCGCCGGAGGTTCACTGGGGCACCCGCCGCCAGACTCGCCCACTCTGGATTCGTCGGAGCAGGTCTACATCTCCTCGCTCGCTCTTCTTAAGATGCTCAAACACGGTACTATTCGAAATGAAGAAACTTTTCTTATTTGTTTGGATCTTATTCTTCCGGTTGTGTTGACAATCGTTTACCAAGTTTCCGTTTAGGGTTCCATCGACTCTGCTCTTCTATATAATCAACGATTTTGGACTCTTGGTTTTAGGTTTAGGATGTTCGGTGTATTTTGAGTTAGTGGTGAAGTTTTCATATTAATTTTTCTGCTGCAATGTGCATGATAGGAAGAGCTGGGGTTCCCATGGAGGTGATGGGTCTGATGTTGGGGGAATTTGTTGATGAGTACACCGTGCGTGTGGTCGATGTATTTGCTATGCCGCAAAGTGGTACCGGTGTTAGTGTTGAAGCTGTTGATCATGTATTCCAGACCAATATGCTTGACATGCTTAAACAAACTGGACGGTAGTTTTCTTTACTTTGGAATGTCTGTGAATATTGATTCAGATTTCTAATCACTATATTTGCTGGAGAGAAGATTTTATAGATTAAGTTGCTGAAAATGAAATTTTAGATCCTGCCAAAATGCTCCCTTTTATTTGTATGTCGATGCTTGCTGCCTGTGGTGTATGGGGCGCCTTGTGCTGTCCTGTGCGAGTTTGGTTTTTGAAAAAAAATTCAGTTGTTTGAGATCTGATGCTGGCATAAAACTTACATAGGCTTACCTAAATTTCATTGAAGATTATGCTAATGAATGTTTATAGGATCTTGAGATGGTTGAACTCTAGGCCAATAAGAAAATCTATTGATGTGAATTGCTCAGTTGAACAATCTGCTCATGCACTTTGGAGGGAGTTTAGTTGGCTGTCCTGCAATTTTCTTTCCTATTTATACAATTAAGTGCATTTGTCCTGCATCAGAATCATGTCTCATTCTGATTCCAACACTTCTATTAGGGAATGAATCCCTGAATGTGGGTTCAGTTCATCTTTAACTTTAATGCCATTCCCGTTTCCTTAGAGCAACTCTCTTTAATTCTTTCATTTTTGGTTGTGCCCGTTGTTTCGCTTGAATAACTCCCCATTTTTTAGGCTTCTTCCCGACATTTTTTTTTCTTAGCTTCAATTTGGGTTTTGATCTGGCATGTCAATTGAAATTCTCATCAAATGAAGGTATAATTAAACTTAAATAAGGTACTGAGTTCATAGATCTAAGTCCGCATGACTTCTCTATCATCCTCACCTATAGGTAAATGAATACCACCCCTTTTTCTTCTTGGTCTCTATCTGGGTCAACTTAAAAAATATGAAACGGAAAGCCCTGGTTTGAGGTTTTGATTGTGATGGTCTTAACCTCTTCGCTAGAAGCATACTGTTATAATTTTTCTTTTCATTTCAAGTGGCTGTAGTAGTACATTGCATTTGACCTGTAGGCTTATATTGATATCCAAATGTTATCTTAATCTTCTTCCAAATTAGAAATTACTTTAAATAAAAATAAATAAATGAAGAGAGGGAGCTATTGATTCAAAAGCCCTGATCAGCTAATTAAAGAGTATGAATGTGAATCTGATTTCACTTGCGGTCAAGATTAGCCACTAAGGGTGAATAGTGATTTTTATTATTCCCATTCCCTCCTAGTTCTATTCTGATTTCATCACATTCAATTTCCAATAAGGTACCATGGCGTAAATGCAGTGGTATTTTTATTTTTTATTTCTTAACTATTATTGCTTCAGTTGAACAGTCACCTCAGCCCAGCTTAGCATATGGAACTCGTATTGAACTCATTATTAACCTATATCTTCTGCCGCCCTTTTCCTTTTAACTATCTGATTATTTGTCTTCAGCCCCGAGATGGTTGTAGGATGGTATCACTCCCATCCTGGATTTGGATGTTGGCTCTCCGGTGTCGACATCAATACTCAACAGGTTTGTGGTTCTAAAAAAGCCTCCATTTTGCATTATCATTATCATCTTCTCGTTTAATCTTTCTAGAGTGACAATGTCTTTTCTTTTTATTGTATAATGTATTCTTATTTATCGGGGTTATTGTTATTTTGTATTCCAGCTAAAAAAAAAAAAAAAAAGTTATCTGTTTAGCTTGACTTGAGCGATTTGCTAAATTATTTGCAATTTAGACTAAAATGTGAAATGCACTCATTTTCATTACCATTATCATTGGTAGAGTTTTGAAGCTCTTAATCAGCGAGCTGTTGCTGTAGTTGTGGATCCAATCCAAAGTGTCAAGGGGAAGGTGGTTATCGATGCTTTTCGTTTAATTAATCCCCAGACAATGATGCTTGGCCAAGAACCACGACAGACAACATCAAACCTCGGCCATCTTAATAAACCATCTATTCAAGTGAGTGTTGAGAAAAATACAATTAAATCAATTCAAGCTTTCATTCTATTGACTTTTATTGTTCCATCCTTTTCAGGCATTAATCCACGGATTGAATCGCCATTATTACTCCATAGCTATTAACTATAGGAAGAATGAGCTTGAAGAGAAGATGTTGCTTAATCTTCACAAGAAGAAATGGACTGATGGGCTGACACTTCGACGATTTGACACACACTCGAAAACTAATGAGCAGACAGTCCAGGTAAGCAAATGTTTTTTAACCTTCTAAAGGTTGCATCTCTACTTGCAACATTAAATAAATTAAGTTTCCTGCATTGCCAAACAATTCAATTGCACTCTATTTCTACTTATGTCAATCACAAAAGTTAATTTTGACAACGTAAAGAGCGATGATCTCATCTAATAAAAAAGGGTCGTGAGAAAATATCTTGTCAATTCACTTTTCACCGCCGTAAAATTGCACACAGCTGTGGGTAGATTTCCTTGTGCATATATGTTCGTGATCTGTTGTTCCCATGCAGGAAATGCTGAACTTGGCTATTAAGTACAACAAGGCGGTGCAGGAGGAAGACGAGTTGCCACCAGAGAAACTTGCAATTGCAAATGTGGGAAGACAAGATGCTAAGAAGCACCTGGAAGAACATGTCTCCAATTTGATGTCATCAAACATCATACAAACATTAGGAACGATGCTCGACACGGTTGTGTTTTAATCAAACTATGTTCGTTAAAAAACGGCACTTCCCCTGCAGGAAGTAGTTGTGAGCTCTGTGAACTGTTAATCAAGCAAAAGGGTGTTCGAACTCTTCCATAGCTATGAACCCCTTTCTAGCTTTTATTTTCATAACATTGATATTTTATTGGATCTTTGGATGAAGGATAATTTGAGAAGTTCTGTAAAGGGGGTTCCTTTGAATCATAATGTGACTCTCAATAATATTCTGGACTAGAGGTGGTTTCGTGTTTTACAGGACAGCTTTTGGTGAATGTCATGAATTTTTTATCAATTAGAGATTTGAATTCTTTCACCTAATTGAAATTTGAAATTTTGGACTTCCATTATCAACGCTCAGTCTTCATTTACAAACAAAGCCAAACGATTTACAAGGCACTTAGCTTTCTCGGAAGTTGGATCGAGGAGATGGAAAGCATGATCCTCTCCTTCCGTCTCGAAAATGTCGACCTTCCCTTTCCAGTGGCTCTTCGCCAGATTTTCATAGTAAAGCATCCCTCTGTCCCTCAGTATGTCTTTCTCTGCAACTATTACCACCACCTTCTCGCCCACGAGGCCCTCGACCGACGGAGATCCGTCGGCGAACGGGTTGATTAATAAATCGTCGTTTCCTCTGTCGGATGGGCACACGAAATTCCACCAACCGTCCACTAGAGCCTTTTTCTCAGGCTCGGTGATCTCTGAGCCGATGGGTTCCCGGCCCCAGAAGTACGGTTGAATTAGAGCGATTCCGCGAATTTTGAATTTCCCAGCAAGATGGGAGTTTTGGGCTCGTAGGGCCATGTGGTGTGCGATGTTTCCTCCGGCACTGTCACCAAACAAGAACACCTGTTCAAAAGAATATAGATAAATTGTCAGACCTATTTATTTAATTTACCTATATTCTTAAATAAATAAGTTCGGGAATAAATGTAATAATTTACATACTTAAAAGTTAGTTTCTAAACCACATATGAACCTATAGATTTTCTTTTTTGAGTTTAGTAGTCACAATCTTTTGTACAAGCTCGAATTTTTTCGTTTAATGAAAATTTAGACAACATTAAATAGACCGATCTTGTGTTTGGAATGTCAGAATTTAGTAAACTTATTTCGAGTTTGAATAACAATGAAAATTAAGAACCTTCTATCCCAATTCTATTCTTATTCTATTCCCACTTGCATCATGGAATCATGGAATATCTAAAAAAAGAAAGGGTTTAAACTATGTTACGTTCATATTAAAAAAAAATTGAGAAATTTTCAAACTAATTTAAGATTAAGGAAATTTATTTGAATACTTCGGTTTTAGAACTTATTTTGGTCATCCCTGAGCTAAAGATGAGAAAACACAGATAAACAAAAGTTAGTGTAAAAGAAATGTGTTGAGTCCCACGAGTGATTTGAGATAACAATACCTTCTTAAAGTCGACTAGCTGTTTAAGCCAAGGCTCTTGGCCGGCCTCGTCACCGGAGGTCTTGGACTGTTCAGCAACCCACTGAAGCGCGGCCCACGAATCGTCGTACGCGGCGGGGAGAGGGTGCTCCGGCGCTAATCTGTAATTCACCGAAAGGACGACGCTTTCGGTCGCTGCGGCGAGCGGGATGAGACAATTGTTATGGTAGATAGGTTCAGCACTGGAGGTTATGAGAAACGCACCGCCGTGAAAGTAAACAATCAAGGGAAGTTTACGGGGAGGTTCGACGGCAGTTGGTCGGTAAAGCCGAGCTGAGATGCCGGTTTCGGGAACAATAGTAATGTCTTTGGAGTCAACTCCAGTTAGAGAATCAAGCCCCGGCGGAGTGACTCGTGTCCCGACAAGCCTCTCGACAACGCCATTTTTATAGACTCGAAGGTAAGGGAGAAGCTCCAGCTCCAGCTCCAGCTCTGGGTTATTGGAATCCGGTGCAACCATGTGGGATTTCAGAGATGAAAGAAGGATAAGATTAGATGGAAAAGGAAAATGAAGAGGATCAGCATGAATAAATGGAACAAACGATTGTACCTGTCAACATCTATCATTGACTAATTCTGATGGTCCATGCATTAATGGCCTACTCTTCTCTTAATATACATTGACGCTCTTAAACAACCACCAAATCAAAATTTAGCCTATTTCACAAAGACAAACATGATCGAGGAACGAGAGGGATTCAGCTCCCAGATGAAAATTTTTGGGGGAAGAGATCAAGGGTGCTCAATCTTCTGAAATTTCATGACTATTGGAAGATCTGATCTGAAGTTGCTGAGACGTCAAAGAGATGAGAGATTGAAGCTTAGCAACAGCAGAGGATTTCTCGGGCGGGCATTTCGAAAGAGAGACATTCAACGAATGAAGAGCCTCATCGAGTTTACCAACAGCCAATGCCGCACACCCTGCCTTGTACGCTTCATCCGCAATTCGTGCATCATACTGAGTACTTGAGCTCGCACCAGAGCTCCTATCTTGTGGAGTGGGAGAAATTGGAGATTCTAAGAAGGCGGTTGATCGACCATATTCGAGATTTGCAATTGCAGTATTGATCTCCGCGATTAGAGCTTCAGGCGTCTTCGTTGTGGTCTTCACATTGTCAAACACATTCCAAGCGGCGATTCCTCCTCCAGAACTCATATTCTCTTTTCCTCTCGGATTCTTATGCCAATCTCGTTGAGGCATTTTCACAAACACCTTGCAGCCCCTCAAACTGATGCCAAATTGTATCGATAGATTAGAAAGTCTATGGCGCCCAAATTCAGCTAGAAATCAGGTTTTCTTTGAAAACGATACGTCCAATCCGATCCTCCGGATCCTGCGAAATTCCGTATCGATTCGAGAACTCGACGACTTAGGGCATTGCATAACAACGAAAACAGCATCCAAGAAAACGCGCCGATCAATGAAAATAAACCACCATATTAACAATATATATATATATATCCAGTCGCGAAAGCAGCTCTAGAAGTCGATTCAGTTTTAGAAATTAACCGCGAAGTACATGAATCAAATCGCTCCCTAAACTCATAGTTCTAATCGCGCCGCAAATGCAAAATCTCTTGTATCATCTCAAGAAGAAAGAAGTAGGGAAAGAAAAGGCACCTTGTCGCTTCACCGGAGAGCAGCTGATTTCCTCGAGGTCTCGAACTTGAATCTGAATCCGATCAACTACGTCGTTGAAGAGGATTTCTCTAAATTTTTATCCATGGCGAGGATTTCGAACTTTCAAGAAAACTGCCCATTTCTAATTTATCTTTCAGCTTGGAGAAAATTAAATAAGTTCTTTTAACTTCGAACTTCTCCGACATTAAGTATATAATTATCTAAATATTATCTCATTTTTAAATTTTGTGACTAAATATGTATGAATTCATTTTTTATTTTGTAAATTAATTGACAGATTTAAGTTCAGAAACAATATAACATATGTCTCGCATCTAATCTAATAATTACAAGACTTAAATAAAATTAATTAAATATAAAGATTACGAGAACAGTTTAAAGTAAATAACAAATTTAAAACGAAATGGAATGATAAACATTGATTTTTTTATATTGATAGTCATGATGTTTTTATCGAAAAAAAAAAAAAAGAAGTATTGGGTTCCCGTGGACTGCTGTGTACGAGAGCACGGCTCAATTGGTGGACACGACGGTCAGATAATTCATATGAACGACAAAGTAGGATAAAGGAATATAAAAAGAATTATGGCCGAACACGAACTGTACGTGACGTGGAAAAAATAAACGGTAACAGGGTCTTATCTGAATCCGACCTGTCGCTTTCTAAGTGGCGGTCATCCGAAGTTAACGACTGACGGAAGACGATAACAGAGCCGGCGTAAGGGGCATTTCAGTCATTCAATGTCAGATTTTCATTTTTCTTTTTCGAGAGACAAAAATATTAAATATTTTTATTTAATAAATACAAATTATTATAATGTTTTTTTTTATAATAAAAATAGGTGATACATTCTTTTTAATTAAAATAAGGTCGATATAGCTGCATTTTTACAAAATTAAACAATTAATCGCTTGAACTTAAACTCTTTGAATGGATCATTAGAATCACATTCAAGTTATTTTAATTTCTAACTCGAACTAATTTGATTATATTAAATTTACAATAATATGTGTAAGAACTTTTTAAAAGCAGAGTGACAGCTAAAATCACTATACGCTTATATATTAATCAATTTAATTCCGATTTCTTTTATGAATAATCTCTAATACATGTGATGTATAATAAACAAATTTAATTCAACAAATATATGCATATATGATTAATAAACAATAATTTAAATTTCTCCATTTTTATGAGGTGTTGAATTAAAAAAAAAAAAATCAATTTCAATTTTATGTCTATATGTATTTAAAATATTTAATTTTATATTTAATATGTCCCTAATTTAAATGCTTTTTAATGTTTATAAATTTATTCGGTAAAAAGTATAGAAGTTAAATGGATAGATGATTCAAGTTTTTATTTTTTTAATTGAAAAATAATAAAATTGATATTTATTATTGAGTAAAACAAAAATATGACATGGAGTAGCAAAAAGTTAAAAACTACGGGTAGTGTTACATAAATAACCCCATGTTCAAATATTTTCGTGGCAGTGGCAGAATTTTTAATTGAGGAGGTGACGTGGCAGGATTTCTTCGGCAAGACTCAGCATCGTGGGGTCGTGACCCGTTGACGTTGTTTTTTTTTTTTTTTTTTATCGTTAAAAGGTTTAATTTCAAAACAAAATCAACAAAATGGAAGGAAAGAACGAAAGATACAAGCACTTGAGATTACAATTCTCTTTTCAGTCCGTAAATTCTACAATTTCTCCATTAAAATCATCTCCAACCTCCCGATATTTTACAGGAAAAAGCTTCAAGACGCCGACAAACTGAGTGGCCAGTTCTTCAAGATTTGCAGGGTTTTGGATTCGAGGAGAAGAGGAGGAGAAAGATGTGGGGATTCGGTGGTAGGTATTATTGGGGAAGAAGAGAGCGAGTCGGGAGAGTCGAAGGGATTGTAGTGGCGTTCGCGTGGATGTCTAGTCAGGAGAGGCACTTGAAAAGATATGTGGATATGTATTCTTCTCTCGGTTGGAATTCTCTCGTTTGCCATTCCGAATTCCTCAATATGTAAGTTCAACCTCCGAATTTACTTGTTTTTCCTTGCTCTGTTTTGTCACTGCAAAGTCGATTATGGTATAACTGTGTTTGAATCGCTCCAAGATAGCCAAATCTCCCATCTCCCTATTTTACCAGTTTCTCGAGATTTCTAGCGGCTAGTCTTCAAATTCAACCAGCATCTGTTGTAATGTTCATTGGGGACGTCCTTGATTCTAATAGGGAATTGGGATTCGCGATTTACTTTCTTTGTTGGCTGAAAATTTGAAGATAATAATGCCCAGATTCATATGACTGTGAAGTTTTGTAATCGGGGGTTTTGTTCTATCTCTGATTTCTTTTCCCTTGCAAAGGCGCTTGGCTGGAAAAACAGTCGCCTTAAGCTTTTATAATAGACTACAGTGATTTTTGTTTGTCTAAATTTGATGAACATTTGGAGCAGGTTCTTCCCTGATAAGGCTGCATCTCTGGCATTTGAAATTCTTAAAGTACTAGTCGAGGTTAGTGTTGTAGTGCATTTTGAAGTGCAAAATTAATATAGATGTTTAAGTTTAAGCTAACTAAATACATTTATCTGCTGAAATATACTTTCAGGAGCTAAAGATCAAGAGATGCCCTATAGTATTTGCATCATTTTCTGGTGGGCCTAAAGCATGCATGTATAAGGTTCTCCAGGTAAGCTTTGTCACTCAAACCACAAAGTAGAATCCTATTTAGGACAATCAATTTTTTTTTATCACCTTTGCTCCTCATCTCATGGCAGATAATCGAGGGATACCATGAACCACGGCGATATAGCTTGGTAAACATCGTTTTTTGCTAATGTTTATAAATATATTATCATAAGAGGAACCCATATGGTTTTCCCTAAAGTTTTTCAATTTGGCTATAGGATGATTATCAAGTGGTCAGGGACTGTATTGCTGGCTACATTTATGATTCGAGTCCAGTTGATTTTACCAGTGACTTGGGAACTCGATTTTTGCTTCATCCAACTGTGCTGAAAGCATCCCAGCCACCAAGAATAGTATCATGGGCAGCACACAGCATTGCTTCTGGTCTTGATACACTCTTCCTCAACAGATTCGAATCACACCGTGCGGAATATTGGCAAACTCTTTATGCCTCAGTCGTAAGCAATTTGACATTTACTGGTTTCAATTCTTTCCAAATTTGCAAGATTCTTCATTCACTTAATAATGTACTTGAATGCAGAGTATGAAAGCTCCTTATCTTATTTTGTGCTCGGAAGAGGATGATCTTGCTCCCTATCAAACGATCTTCAATTTTGCTCAACGACTAGAAGACCTCGGGAGAGATGTTAAATTAATCAAATGGAATGGCTCCCCACATGTAGGTCTGTTCTAAAAATTTTGTTTTCTGTATGCATGGACGTTACTATTGCGTCGTTTTCTCTTGCTCTTTCGTGACTGGAGGCACGTACGTTGTCTTAGTAAACAAGTGACTTGACATGATCATTGAATTGTTTTTAGCCAAGAATTCTCTCTTTTACCATGTATTTTGAGTTCTTCAAATGTTTATCCTATGAATTGAACAGGCTTTGAAACCTTGTGCTGTGTTGTTTGCATATTGCAGGGCATTTTCTGCATTTTCCAATCGAATATAGAGCTGCTGTCACAGAGTTGCTAAATAAGGCCGCTGGAGTTTACTGGCAAAGAACTAGACCTAATGAAGTAGCTGCAGTAGATAAAATGAACTGTGACTCTTGCAAGCCAACACCCGACGTTAGAAAAGCTGCATCTCCATCAAGTAGTTTTCAGGAGCCTGCTCTTGCTCCAAGCAACCACCTTTTCTTCTCCAGCATGATAGATGGCTGTGACTACAGGGGCATTGGATCCATGCACGACGAAGACATGGAAGGAGTAATACGGTTATCTAATTCGCCAAGGACTATTCCCCATGGAGCTAATGGTCAAATCCTTTACGATGTTTGTGTTCCAAAGAACGTCGAGGATTGGGACATTGAATCATCCAGTTCTTCAAATGGTGTCCTGCGTGCACACACAAGGCGACATACGTCATTCAATCCCATCAAACTGATGCGTCGGTCGAGACTATAGCCATTCATCACCAGAAAAGCCAAGCTGAAACTCATTTGTTGCCATCAAATGCGCAGAGAGCATGGCCCATGGCATAAATGCAGAGACAAGGAATTCACTGGTTTGTTGAAAACTTTGCCTCTTGGGGAAACTTTGGGGGCAAAAACAATGTAAATGTAAACTAGAGCCCACATTGTAGCCCCCTGCAAATTTGTGTATCAATGAGGAAAATACTTAGTTTGTGATGTGAGCCCTTCAAATTTAGAAAGTCTTACAGAAACTGCCATTTAGAAGGCTTTAAATAAAATAGTGGATAACTATTAGAAGTGATTTCTGTAAAAAGTGATTACGAACCAAATTTCTAGAACTGGCAAATGATCCTTATTACACAAGTTCTCTTCCTTCACGTTTCAAGCTTGTCTGATTTGTGTAGAGAATTGATTATGAAGCAATATATAATTTTGGGCATTGTAAGGTATTTCCATATCTTGCGAATTCAGTCGCTTTGCCTTCGTTGGAAGTATGAAGGTTCTTGTAACTGGGGCGTCTGGATATCTGGGCGGAAGGCTGTGCCATGCATTGTTGAACCGAGGCTTCTCCGTTCGGGCATTGGTCCGTCCGACCAGTGACCTCTCATCTCTTCCTCATGATCCTTCCGCTCTTGAGCTCGTCTATGGCGATGTCACCAACTACCAGTCGCTCCTAGATGCTTTCTCCGGCTGCCATATCGTATTCCACGCAGCCGCACTAGTCGAGCCCTGGATTCCTGATCCATCCAAATTCATCTCAGTAAGCATTTGCAGTTTTTTAATCTTTTAGGTTTCTTTTAATTGTTGACCGGATTCCTGCGTGGCTACGGAGAAAAAGATATGTTCGCGGAAAATGTTTCGAGTTCTAGGTTTTGGATGAGCTCATCGGATTTCATTCCAAATTGCGTAAAAGAAACACTAGCACTCTTGTTCCGGCTGTTAATTTCCACGGCATTTAGCTTTTCCGGATCGAATAGCTTAACTTCAACGAGTGTAATAGCGAATTATCGCGTTGATTGTGTTAGGTCAACGTTCGAGGGTTGAAGAACGTGTTGCAAGCGGTTACAGAGACGAAGACGATCGAGAAGATAATCTACACGTCGTCGTTTTTTGCGCTTGGCTCCACCGATGGATATGTTGCCGATGAAAACCAGGTACTAAAAGGATTTGAAATTTCAGAAAAATCATTCTTCATTCTTCCTTTTGTGATCCAGAAACAAATGCGTTGATCGTCATCGATGTTTTCAAATTTCAACGAATGGAATTGTGATTACAGGTCCATCACGAGAAGTTCTTTTGTACGGAGTACGAGAAATCAAAGGCTATTGCTGACAAGATTGCATTGCAAGCTGCATCTGAGGGCGTCCCGATAGTGCCGGTTTATCCCGGAGTTATCTATGGTTCTGGAAAGCTTACGGCTGGAAATGTCATCGCCCGCATGGTAATGACTGCTTTTTCTCTGATAAATTCTGTTAGATTCATACGGTAGTTGTTCCCGCCAGTAAGTAACGGCTTAACAAGCAATACACCAAAGATCAATCACTGGAGAAACACTCATTCCTTTTGGGTTCTTGTCTCCATTTTTGGTGACAAAAAATGATTTGATGACTATTCAAATGAGTTCTCTAGCTACTTCCAACCTCGAATCTTAAGACTTTGTGACGGCTTTTAAAAGCTTGCTCTTGAAACTTTAGAATTTTGTTAACAAGTTAAATGCGATTAATAAATGCACGCACTCTAAGATACTTGTAAAAGAAAAACCATCATGAGTCGACTTAATAGTCAACGAAGGTCATGATTATAATGATTTGGAGAAAATAGGTTCGAATCATGGTGGCTACCTACCTATGATTTAGCGTACAATTTTTCATGGAAACTACCTGTATTAGAGTTTGGAAGTTGTATGGAGAGATTAGTCGAAGTTGTATGGTGAGATCAGTCGAGTTGTATAAGAGTTTATAGATGTGACATTTGAATAAGAGTATATAGTCGATTTGCACGTAAGTTACTTCGCTTCTTCATCAAGATGGTTACTTTTAAATTATCGACTATGCGACTTCGTCTATGGAACAATGGTTAACTAAAATTCTCTCTTTGGCTCTTTTTTCTCTTTCGCTGTGAACAATACCCTTTTCTGTTCATTATGGTCTGTTATCCTACCGATTATTTAATCTTTCAAGTTTTAATTTTGTAAAAAGATATTTGTTCTTATCTATCTTTAGAGCTCCTTGTGAGATTGAATTGGGGAAATCTATGGAACTTCCCGACTTCCTTGTTTGTATGAAATCAACAAACACTTTCATCTGATCTTCATCTGTTATAAGTATAACCTGACTGACTGACTTCGGCTTTCTTTCAAAATGGGTCAATGGGATTATGTTGTTCTTATCTTATCAGCTGATCGAACGGTTCAATTGGCGATTGCCGGGTTATATAGGCCAAGGAACCGATAGATACTCGTTTAGCCATGTCGACGATGTGGTAGAAGGGCATATTGCAGCAATGCAGAAAGGTCGAGTAGGTGAAAGGTATCTTCTAACAGGAGAAAATGCATCATTTGTGGATGTTTTTGACACAGCTGCAGCCATTACTGGTACAAGAAGACCAATGTTTAACATTCCATTGTGGTTGATCGAAGCATATGGTTGGGTTTCAGTTTATATCTCTCGGATCACTGGGAAACTTCCTCTCATCAGCCCCCCGGTACGCCACATTTTCATAAGAAACAATGAAATAGTTTGACAACTTCGATGAGTAACATAATTTGACTCCTTTGGTATTCATTTTCTGTTATTGATGCAGGTTGTGAGTGTTCTGAGACATCAATGGGCATATTCGTGCGAGAAGGCGAAAGAAGAACTGGATTATAACCCCAGAAGCTTGAAAGAAGGATTAGAAGAAATGGTTCCATGGCTAAAGAGCTTGGGTTTGATAAAGTATTAACAAGAAATGGTGCTGCGCTGGTAAGGGCTAATGCAATGTTAACAGAAATAAAGAGCTTCTGTAAGTAAGTAACAATACCAAAGTTGGTTATAATGTTGATTGAATTTGGCATTTGGGGGGGGGGGAGAGGAAATTTGGAAGAGGAAGAAGGGCAGGGGAAGTGGGGTGTTAACAGCTGTGGGATATAATAATAAATAGTGTATTTAAAGAAGAAGACAGCGGCATGAGATGGGGATTTATGAGTTTTGGCCTAACGACAACCCTTAAGCCATCTCTAAGCTGTTGCTGCTGTTTCTCGGCTGAAGCCATTTTTCTTGTTCTTCTTCTTCTTCTTCTTCACGCGGTGCTTGTTTGTTTGTTTGTTCGTCTGTCTGTCTGTCTGTCTGTCTGTCTTTTTCAATCAACGGCGCCGCTAATTCCGCAGCTTAAAGCGGTCGCTGAGGATGTGGGGGTGTGGGGACTATCCAATCCAGAGGCGTTACCCCCGAGGCTCCATTTTCCCCCTTTCAGTGTTTTTTTCCAACTCACCCACTCCTACCCCGCCATTCTCACATCACATCCATCCACCACGCTCACGCTATTCCTCTTCCTTTCTGACAATCTCATTTCAAACCCATTTTTCTTCCATTTTATCCATGGTACCCGTCCTCCAGTTTAGACGAGAGGCAGAGGTGAGGATGCAACAGTTAAAAGTCTACGCTAGCCAATATTGTCCGTTTTTGTCCGTTTTAGATAATTATATCGTCGTTAGCCTCATGATTTTAAAATGCGTATATTAAGGAGAAGTAATGTTTTGTTTCCTCTCTATCGATGGGCGACTTTACATGTCGGGTATGAGATTATATTCCTTATTCCCGTCTTGGCTCAATTCTCCACCCGACAAATTGGTTAATTTTAATATTTTAATTATAATATTTAAACTTCTTATATATACCTGGTTATTCAAAAAAAAAATTACCATTTTTTAATAAATATTATATTAAAAAACAAAAACTTTAAACGAACTATTTTTTTTTTTTAAGTAATAAAATGAGAAAAATTACTCGCAAGATGGAGATGAGGATAGAGAAGGCTTCTCCATCTCCATCCCCGTCCCCGCCCTATTGGACAACTCTAGTTGTATCGTCTTACCATTTTTTAAGTTGCCAAATTTTAAAGAAAATTGTTTTACTCCAAATGCTATCTCATTTAATGTATTTATTTTAGAACATCTTCCCTTCAATTATCAACTATAGTTTTATGACCAAAAAGAGTGCCTAGATGTCCAAGACACACATGGATGGTTGAACACAAGTACCGAATAATTTGGTACATTCTAATTCAAACGGAGAAACCAATGTGATAATTCTAAAAAGCCACGACATAAACAAATTATTTAATTTCCACATACGTAAAAAGGCGCCACGTGGAGAGAAAGAAGGAAAAAGACGGGCTGGAAATGGATCGGATCCAATGTGGAAAAAAGATAATAGTAGGGCCCATAACAATGGTGGGCCCAACAACAGGCCCAAACCGGAAACGTGTGTGGCATGTTATTATTACTATTTATTATTCTATAAGCTTTCTCTGAGTGGAAGTCAATAAGTCAATGGAGGGAAAATGCTGAATCAACGGTTTCCAAGGCGCCGCAAGCGCCAAAGACAGCTATGTCGGCTTCTTCTAACCGGCTCGGGGCGCCAAATTAACGAATACATTTTTATTTATTTATTTATTTATTTATTTATTTATTATTTTTCATTTGCCATGGTGACTTTAACACACACAACTGAAAACTCCCTCGTCTACGCTTTTTTATTTTTATTTTTATTTGTCCAACATCCTCTCTCTCTCTCTCTCTCTCTCTCTCTCGCGCGCGCGCGCGGAAGAGCAATGGAATTTTTGCAGGGCGCCGGGATCCGCGTTTCTCGATCGATGAAATCTATTCGATTGATGATGGAATTGTTTCCAATCTTGGCGTAGTTGTAATCAATCAATCGCCAGAGTTTTCGTCTCCTCTTGCCTGTAGATGTTCTTTCTATTTTCTTTTTCCTTTTTATTTTCTCTTGGGTGATTTCCCATTTGAGGACGTTGGAATGTTGTTATTAGGGTATGATGGTCGTTTGACTCTTGGTGATCTGCATTTAATTTATTTATGCTGTCATTGCGACTTTTTTTAAACAATTTGTTCCAGATCAACGAGAGGCTTAATTTGTTTGCGATGGGGGAATTGGGGTAAACTGTTATTGGATTTCGAGTATGAAATTATTATTGTTTTTTTAAAAAATTGCAGTTTTTCCTCTTGGATGTTAACTTCTTGTACAAAATTTGTATTTGTTTTTTAGTGTTCTACAATGTTGGTATATGTTGATGTATAGTGTTTGATTCATGAGGTTTTTGATGATTTTTTTGCAGGATTTGTTCGGTTATATATGACGATTTAGAGTTGAGAGCTGCATATTTTTAGCGGAAGGCCGTTTCGCAATTTTGTGGACGTGAATCACAATGTGCACAAGGGGTGAACATCATACAGTCCCGCTCTCCGTGCTCCTGAAGCGTGAATTGGCGATTGAGAAGATTGAAAGACCGGAAATCGTACATGGTCAAGCGTGTCAGAGTAAGAAAGGGGAGGATTTTACGTTGGTAAAGACGGAATGCGAGAGAGTGGTTGGAGATGGAGTCTCTACGTATTCGGTTTTTGGGGTAGGTTCTCTATGTGCTGGAAAAAGTCAATGAGCCGTGGTTTACTTTCTACATCCACGCTGTTTATAATCCTTTTCCCAAATAAGAATGTTAAATTTTGCGACATTGGATTGGACCTCTATTTTAAAGTTAAAATTGAATTCTTATGTTTGCAGATTTTTGATGGACATAATGGATCTGCTGCTGCTATTTATGCGAAGGAAAACCTGTTGAACAATGTTTTAGCTGCTATTCCATCAGATCTCAACAGAGATGAATGGATTGCAGCATTACCAAGGGCCTTGGTTGCAGGTTTTGTGAAGACCGACAAAGATTTTCAAGAGAAAGGTGAGCATATCCCCGTGTAAACCAAATCTCTGATCTTAGCTGTTTTTGGTTACCTCCTCTAGGGGTAATCCGCATTTTGAATATTGATTTGTAGTTCCCACTCACCTTAGAAAAGGAAGATTGTGGATTGGAGTGCATTTTATTTTGTACAAAGAAAGGGTTGCAAAAACTTATATACTACCATTATGGCGCTCTCAAGATGGTATATTGTCAACTTTATGTGAAAGGAAAAAAGAAAAGAAACATATTTTTATTATTTTGGTTTGCTCAGAATTAGTCTCGAAATCGTTTGACATAACCTTTTCTTCTCGATCACTATAAGTTTATGGGCTTCTCCACAGAAGTTGCAATTCTGGTATGGACATTTTAAAAGCTTACGGTGTTGATGCATTGATATTTGTTATTATTCCAGCACAAACATCAGGAACCACTGTCACCTTCATGATCATTGAGGGATGGGTTATCACTGTTGCTTCTGTTGGAGATTCCCGTTGCACTTTAGAATCAGCTGAAGGTGGCATCTACTACTTATCAGCAGATCATAGACTAGAATGCAATGAAGAAGAGTATGTTGTTACTCATTAATCTAACATGACTTAATAACACCCACTTAAGCTATCATTATTGTGCTTAAGATTCTTGTATGCTTTTGAATAGGAGAGAACGTATAATTGCTAGTGGAGGTGAGGTAGGCCGACTGAATACTGGTGGTGGTGCAGAGGTGCGATTTTTTTACTTAGAATTTTAATAGATAGTCTTAATTTTCAACTTAAGAGTTACAAGACTGACTTTCAGATGCTTAACTTTCATGTCGTTTGTTTGTCTTAGATCGGTCCATTGAGATGCTGGCCCGGTGGCTTGTGTCTATCACGATCCATTGGTGATATGGATGTTGGTGAGTTTATAGTGCCTGTTCCCTATGTGAAGCAAGTTAAGGTAGCTTTCTATCTTGTGATGTGATTTTCTATGTGCTATATATTTTAAAGTTTATACTTATCCTTATTTGCTGCAAAATAATCCCTTTTCTATGTAATTGTATTGCTTTCGAAATTTAGAATAAGGCTGTTGCCCATTGAAACACTTTTCCAAGTATAAATATAGTTGCTTTTGTTTAACAGATGGTTGTGCACAGTTGGAGACTCCTTAATTTATTATTATTGTTTCTTTCCCCATGTTTTGGCATGTGATCTGCATGTGAACCTTGTTTTTGAATCTTCAATATCATTTGATTTCCATAAAAGAAAAATGTATATTATTCTTATATGAGGAAGAGATTGGAGCTCTATTTAACTGGATTCTTGGTCTCATAGGCAATTATCGAAATTTTTTATACTTCTGCTCCGATCTCTGTTGAGTATCAAGTTAATATGGTATACAGCGATGGAAACAGTGTCTTGCTAACCAAGCTAGGTAGTATGGTCCAATTGAATTGCAGTTGGATTTTAGGTGTAAGTTAGCTGATGATAAGTTGCCAATCAGGTTCACATGTAGCAGGAGATGTGAGAGGAAATACTACCCAGCAGATTTGGTTAGAGATGGGAATCACATACCACTCATTAGTCTCTGAAGTTATTCAGGTGTTGAGAGTGACTGGCCAATGTAACCGTTGAAGGAGAGAAATAGTTACTGAATAGGAAGGAAGAAGGAAAGAGGGTAAATGTATACTTTGTCTTTTGGTTGGTAACAGCATATGGATTTGAGGAGAGTACAGACTCTTGAATATTTGGTCTTATTTTCAGCTATCCATAAAGTATTTATGTTTTTTAGTTCGTCACCTCTTGGTGGATAAGATTTTGTTAGTGAACCAGTTGTTTTCTGGGTTTTCGTCTTTGTTGTTTAATTGAACTGCAACATATTTGTGTAATCTGTGATCTGGAATGTCATTCTTTAGTCAAGTAATTCATGGTCTAATTTAATCTTGCAGCTATCTTCTACTGGTGGTAGGGTTATCATATCAAGTGATGGTGTTTGGGATGCTTTATCCGCTGAAACTGCCTATGATTGTAGTCGAGGGATGCCAGCAGAAACTGCTGCTGCACAGATTGTGAAGGTATGGGCGGTTACAAGTTGATTCTTTTAGTTTTTGTTGTTTTATACTGCTTCAATAACTTTCTTTAATATTATGCTATGATGATCTTCAAGTAATTGAACATCTTTCTTTACAGGAAGCAGTACATTCAAAGGGACTTCGAGATGATACTACGTGCATTGTGATTGACATATATCCAAGGGAGAAATCATCAACTGTTTTGCAGCCACTAAAGAAGCAGGGAAAAGGAATGTTTAAGTCAATGTTCCGCAAAAGATCTTCTGAATCATCTTCTCATTTGGGGAAGGAAAATAATGAGTTGGATGTCGTTGAAGAATTATTTGAGGAAGGATCGGCAATGCTGTCAGAAAGGTTTGTGCTTTAAAAGCAGAGAAGTTGAATTAAGTCAACTTACATTTTGATGGTTGATTCAGATGGGCAATTCTAGTTTATTGTTGCTTTTCTATGTAATGATATTAAACTGTACGTGTCTTATGGTACATAATCTCCTGAATTGAGCTTCTAAAATGCAGGTTAGATGCCAAGTATCCTATCTGCAACATGTTTAAGCTGTTTGTATGTGCAGTATGCCAAGTTGAGATCCAACCTCGGGAGGGTATTTCCATATATGCTGACTCATCTAACAGAGGAAAATTGCGTGCTTGGGATGGTCCTTTTCTATGCTTAAGTTGCCAGGAGAAGAAAGAAGCCATGGAAGGGAAGAGACCATCTGGAGGTCTGTGGATCCTGTGTTTGTGTGTGATTCTGAGTGTGCGTTTTGTCTTTTCCAATTGATTTTGTACAGATTTGGCCCTGAATTTTTTTAAAATTATTTTTGTCTCTGCACAGATAGACACAGCAGTGGAAGTGACTAGCCTACTCTTGAGTTACGCTTCATTGTGGGTGCACTGAGCAGAGTTGATTTTGACCATGGAAATATGACCAGTATTAGAAATTGTTCAGAGTTGACCCTCATCTCGGAGGTTTTCCTCGATTCTCATTGCTTGCATTGAGAATTTGGATCACTTTTTGAATTCCACGACAATTCCATTGGGAAATATATAGCTCTCTAGTGTTCTTCAAGGCAGGAGGGAGATGGCAGTTAGAGTTGATTGCTTTTGTATACTGTTTTCTGACATCGGTTTATGATGGCATGCTTGCCTTGCATCTTGGAGGAAAGCTTTCGATAAACTCGCCTGTACATGATACTGAAGAGTGAAGGTAAATCATTTATTTTCTCCATTCATCATCCCATTATCTGTTTGTCCTTTCAACTTACAATGCCACTGAATGAACACATTCGTTGTTGTAATTTATTATATAGGGAATTCATTTAGATATTTTTAGCATACAGTTGGTTAGGAGGAAATCCCTTGCAACACGGCTGTCTAGACAAATTGTTCATAAAATTTGATACTGTTCTCTGACATGTTCGAGATGAACCATATAATAGAAAAAGTAGTCACTTTTTTCCGAGGAAAAGGAAATGCTCAAATACCCATTACTTTAGTTGTGTGTACGAATTGATCTCCTTTTATGGTTTTCTGTTATTTTATCTGAATAGATTCAAGAATTCGATCCAAATTTGGTTATTTAGATATTGACGTCTCCTACTTTTTGACCAGTCTTTATTTTGCCAACTCTTTGAACCAATCTGTACACTTGAATCTGGCCTCTGTGCACTTCCCTTTTACCGATTGTCTTCTTCACTTGGTTGTGGGATGGGATAGGGAAGCCGTAGATCTAGACGCCCCAACGTTAGTGCGTGTAGTGGTCACAAGCCACAAGGCAAGAAGTAGACACTGTTTTGGTTGTATTTGGCAGTAGAAGCCAACCCACACGTGAACTGCAAGCTAGCTAATAGGGACTTGTTATTGTTTTGTGTTTTAGATTTTATTCCTTAAGAGCGTAGAGACGTGAGAAATCTAAAAGTTTCTTTTTCCTTCTTTGACTATTCCTCCTCCAGTACCCCCCCATTATTAGAAGCAGTCATTGTATGGATGTGGCAAAGTGAGAGAAACATAAGAGATTTGCATATTTTGATCTCAGAACAGATTCGTTGGAAGCCTAAGCTTGACGACCTTAAGATTTCAATTATCATGGAGATAGAAATTGAAAGGTGCATTAATAACCTTGTAAATCCAAGTCGGGACAAAGATTCTAAGGTCCCATTTACACAAGGCCTGTGCTTTTCTTTTCATTTCCCTTCCCTTCCCTTCCCTTATGATTCGAGATGCTTGTATCCACTCATCCTCTTCACTCACTCACACCCACAGATCCTTCAGATACTTATCTAATCATCAGCCTTTGCTTCTTGGCTACATTGCCTGATGCCTCCTCCCCCTCTCTCTCTCATCCATTAATCGAAAAATTATTTGAGAAAACCATCACAACGAAGCTGACCGGTCTGCACTGTCGATTGTGTACCTATGAGAAACTGAATTTGTTTTCAGATCAACAGTCCCTCGAAGCCTAAGAGAGTGTTCAAACATTTCACACAAAGATCCCTCTCTCTTTCTCTCTCTATATATAGTCTTCCAATAGATGCAGACAGATATGAAGGGCTCCTATATTATTTCTCCATGATCTTGTGGTTGACCTGAGCTATACAAAATACCTCGAAGAAACTCTCTGCTCCGTCTGTATAGGATTGGACCACGTTCACACGTGTGTGTGGGTCTACCATTCCACCAAACTGCATGAAATTATTATCTTTTATTTTTATTTTTATTTTTTTCTCTCTCTTGTTCACGTGTGTTGTCGAATCTTACTCTGGAAATGAATTTTTAATCATTCGATCATATTGATGTCCAAAACCATGAAGAATTTAGTTCCCATTATGTTGAATGAAATCGAAAATTAGGAGAAATTGATTAAATTAAAGGGGGTTGAAATTAATGGAACATAACACTGTGTCGGTAACCACAAATTATGTAATTTAGGATGGTCACGTGCTGCAACAGTTGACATACATCATTTTCTAAATCTTAATATCTTAATAATTTTGCCCAAACACGACAAAATTTTATTCATCAGCCTAATAACATTTCTTTTTTCTTAAAAAAAAAAGAGTGTTAGTGAGCAAAATTGTCTGAATAAACTCATAATTTCAACTTGATTGACTGACATTACATATCCTTCTAATGTCATTTTCAATCTAATTTGTCATATTTGCCAAATTTGATAACAATTGAGTTTCTATTTTCTGAAAAATACTGAGAGAGAGATAAGATTCTTTTTCTCATTAATTGAACATATAATAATTGAATCAGCTATTTATATGATGAAACTACTTGGTACCTTACTACTAGGTGTTGGATTGAATAGGGACCCATAATTGTGCGCATCATCACAAAATGTACTTAAACCAAACTTAAATTCAATGCCTTCCCATTTCCACAAAACACATTCCATTCTCTCTCCTCATCTTTCTCCTCAAGTGTTAGGAGAGATAATTTGAGACACTGAATTATGAACACCAATCAGCAGCAGAAGAAGACTGCAGAAGAGAGAGTTGCAGAGTACAAGAAGCAAGAAGCTGAGAACTTTAAGGTTGAAGAAAGAGAGAGACAGCAGGCAATTCAAGAATCATCATCAGCTTCAGCTTCAGCTTCAGCTTCTTCTCCTTCACATGACTTCTCCTTCACAATCTCTCTTCATCCTCCTTCCTCTTCTAACAGAGCAAAACCCACTCCTCCTTCCTTTGCCATTGACTTGTCTCCTGCAGATGATATCTTCTTCCATGGCCACTTGCTTCCCCTCCACCTCCTCTCCCACCACCTTCCTTCTTCCTCCCCCCGCTCCTCCATCGACAGTTTCACCATCCCAATCAAAGATATTTGGGACACTCAAGACACCATCAAAGACAGCTCAAGTTGCAGCACCACCCAACACCACCAAACTCAGCCTACTGAACCAGGTGGGAGAATCAAATCCAAGCCTTTCTCATTGTTCGGTTTCCCCAAGTGGCGAAAAGGCTGCGAGATTACCGAGCCAGATGATAAAGCAAAGCACAAGAGGAAGCTGGGGTTTGATGTTTCTCAAGTTCTAAAACGATATGCAAAAGTGGTCAGGCCATTGTTGTTCTTCAGATGGAGGAAAGAAAACTTACACATTCGTCGCCAAGCTTATTCGTTTTCGGGTAATTTGAATCCACGAAATAAGCAAGAATTGAGAGGAAAAAGAGGAGAAGTCTCAGCTCCAGCATCCATGAGGACATCCCCCACAAATAGCGGCCTTCTCGTCGCAACTCCATCTATGTCTTCTTCTACTAGTGATAGCACCATGGAGGAATTACAGTCTGCAATTCAAGCTGCCATTGCTCACTGTAAGAACTCCATTGCTAAAGAAGATAACACCAATGTCAAAAGCTGATATAAATGCTAAATCTTTACTGCTTGCAAATTCAGATTCTTGTACAATATCAGTGGGGAGGGAGGGAGGAGAAATGAAGTTTGTATTTAATGTAAAAAGCCAATGCCTAATTGTTCTGCTACATACTTTTTCTTTTGTGGATTATAAGATTTCGAAAATCCTCCTTGGCTCGCACATAGAGTTTGATTTTCATGTGTTCTAATACAAAGAATGAATGAACCCTTTTACTGTTTCACTTTCAGAATCAATAAATGTGGAAGAACAGGACAGGGCACAAAAAAAAGACTTGGGCTTTTGAGAAGAACCGTAAGATAGATAGGTTTAACTCTTTAATTAACTTAAACATACCTAATATTTCAGAAACTCAATTGAACAAAGTTCAAAAACTCTCATAAAGTTGAGGCTAGAAATTGGCATTTCCATATCCAAACTTGTCCCAGAATTGACATGACGACGCATCGAAAGGATATAAAAAGAAGAATGAGCCATTTCCGTGGTAAGCAAATGGCTAGGGAGAGGAAAGGTTCCTAGGGTACCTCAGGAACAAATCCTTCTTGAACTCAAAGATTTAAACCCGAACACTACTGCCTGGGAGTGAGAGAACACTACTACCTCGAGAATCCTACAAGATCTATTCGTTCTTTTTTCTTTGATAGATGGTCAGAACTTTCAATGGGTTTGAATCCTCTCTTTCTCTTTCTCTCTCTCATCACCACCGTCATGATCATCTTACTCTTAATATTATGAATTCCAGTGAGTGATCTGAAAAGGCGAAACTGAAGCTTCATGAGAAATTCACAATGGAAAAGGAAAAGGTTTAGTAGAGCTTTAATTCAGAGCCGGGCCAATCCCACGAGAAAAGAGACTGATCTGAAACAAATTTCGGGATTTTTGGAAAAAGAGCTTGAATCAGATTGATGAGTGGGGACAGAATGGAATGGGTTTCTGCAAGTGAGTCCAACAAAACCATAGCCACATAATTCACACAGAAATAAGAAAAAGTATCCGCAAAATCCAAAAGTATCATAATACAAAAGAGATAACAATAATTCAAAAGCCTAATGAAAACTCTAATCAACTTTCACCCTTCCAACTCTAACTGAACCATAAAAAAAGAATCCAGAGAATGATGATGATGATAATGATGAAGATGATTCTACGAAGAACCCCACATGATCATATCACAGCCCAGTAATCAGTAGTCCCACACGAAAAGCCTTCTTACTTAGTCTTTTCAGCAATCATAGAAAAAGGCATTTACGGAAAGAAACAGAAAAATATGCACAAACAGAGAGAGCCAAAACACATTACTACAAAGGGCTTTTGAATTTGCGTCAAGCGCGCACGAGTGGGCGGTGGCAGAGGGCTTTTCAGCCGCCTGTGCGACGCCATTGCCAAGCAATCAAGAACCATTTTGGGGTAAGACTCAGGAATTTGGGGGTTCATGATTAAAGTGGCTCAGCAATCATGTGTATCATTTCAAAAAGCTTACAAAACTCTTTTGAACATAGAAGATTAGGGTTGCTTTTTCACAAGTTAGACAAAAATTTCTTCGCTTTTTCTTGTTTGATTGATCAATTTTGTTAATTCTAACATCGATGGCGACTCATAGCATTATGAACAGTAAAGATTCAGAAAGAAAAAAAAAGGGGACGTTGGCCCATACCTCTTTCTATGTCTTCTGCTGAATCCGGACATTTGCTTTTTCTAATGTGAATGTATATGTTCGAAGTTGGGGCCTTCTATTACAAAAGTATTTATGACTTTTACAATTTAAATTTTTTATAAATTTGTTCCTCATAAATTCAACAAATTTTAGATAATTTTACAAACCAACCTTATTTTTAAAATTTTTATTTATTTGATCCACAGTGTCAACCTTAACTAATTAAAATATGTTTCTGCTACTTTTTTAAAAAATATATATATCAATACCATAACAAATTTGAACAAATTAATTGAAATTTTTAAAACTTGAAACTAACATCGGGAATTATCCCTAAATAATAAGAATCAAATTTGTAATTATTTTTTATTGCCGTGTTTTAAAGAGTTCTTCGACTTGCACCGTTTTTTTTTTTTTTTTTTTTTTTTTTTGCC